GCATGATCCATCATCAGGCCAGGGCCGCCTGCTCTGCCGATCCGTCCCTCCCCCATCATCTTCCCACCGTCGCCTCGGGACATGCAGTGAAGCCGTCTTTCTCCTCTTCCTCTCGACCGAGTCGCCACCCTAGTACCGACAGAAGATGGGACGGATCAAATAGCCCTCTCCGGCCGACTTCTCTTCTAATTTGACTTCGAAATCCCGTCTCACTCAGTCCGCCGAGCATCGGGTGTACCTCCGACCCTCCTCCTCCGTAATGTCGCCCTCTTTCGCCACGCCGACTGACGCCGGAATGTTCCACAACTGTATGTCGTGCTTCCCGTGTTTGATTGTTCCTCCCACTTTGTTCGCGCTGTTTGCTCACGCGCTGTAGTCCAGGTCCAGGGCAGCGCGCAGCCCAGCGCCGCAGGGCCCCTCGGCGCAGCCGATACCGCCGACGGCCGCTCCGTCAAGATCTCGCAAGCATGCGCCGAGTGCAAACGGCGCAAGATCCGCTGCGATGGAAATCATCCTTGCCGCCAATGCCTATCAACACGGGTGCCGAAGCGATGCTTCTACGACAAGCATCGCCCGCGTGTGGTGCCTTCGCGGAAGTGGGTGTTCCTGGGGATCAAGTCCCTCCCTCCATGATGCTGACCTCGCCTAGGGTCGTCGAGAACCTCTCCCAATCCCTCGAAGAATGCCGGTCTGTTCTTGGCCGCCTCTTCCCCGACCAGGAATTGTCCTCCCTCCTCCCGCTTTCCCGCGAAGAGCTTCTCGAGTTGCTACAGCGCCCAGCTGCCGCCGAGGGCGAAGCCGCCCTTCCCTCGCCCCCAATCCTGAACCAGTCGCCGCTGCTTGGTGATGAGGACGACGCCGCCGACCATGAGACCGATCCAGGCGCCGCCGAACTCGAGCAAATGCCCACACGCGACTCCGAATGGGATGAGGAGCGGCGCGACCACGAGCCCATCCCAGTCGAGTCGGACGACGTCAACGCCCTTTCGCTCACAATGGATCGACGGGCGTCATACCTTGGGGCCTCTTCGGTCAAGGCTGCGCTCATGGTGATGCTCAAGTTGCAGCCGCAGCTGCGACAGGGCCTGGCGCAGAGGAACAACCCGAACTTGAACGCCTCAACACTCGGCGGCACCGCACTGCCAAACACGGCCTCCGACCTCGTGACGCCCCTTCGTCGCGCCTCGCTCGCCGCAGCTGCTGCCGCCGCCGACGCGAAACCAGCCGCCCGAGTGCCCTGGTCCTGGCGCGGTCAGACCTTTGTCGACGCCTACTTCAAGCGAGTGCACGCCTTCATCCCCATGCTCGACGAAGCCAGCTTCCGCGCCGACTATTCGCGTGGTCATCGGACCGATTCGCCATGGCTTGCTCTCCTCCATGCCGTACTAGCGATCGGAAGCGTGGCGGCGACCAAGTCGAGCGATCTGCATCACGAGCAGCACTACCACCAAGCAATGGCTCATCTCACCCTCGACTCATTCGGTTCCAGTCGCGTCGAGACCGTTCAGGCTCTTGCAATCATCGGAGGGTACTACCTCCACTACGTGAATCGGCCCAACATGGCAAATGCCCTATTGGGAGCCGCTGTCCGCATGGCCAGCGCCCTGGGGCTGCACCGCGAGTCGTTGGCCCAGGACAGCTCGGAGTCGGACATGATGACGGCAGAAATCCGCCGGCGAACCTGGTGGTCGCTCTTCTGCCTCGACACTTGGGCGACGACGACCCTGGGGCGTCCGTCTTTTGGTCGCCGGGGCCCTGGCATTAACATTCGCCCGCCTGAGCTGGGAATGAGCCAAGTTCGTACCCCATGCTGCTTACCCCGAACATCGCTGACTGACTTCCTTAGGCTGCCGAGTCGGCGCAATACGCCGGTGTCCTCCCCATCATCGAAAACATCAAGTTCTGCCGCATCGCGACCCAGGTCCAGGACACCCTCGCCGCGAGCCCCCTTCTATCGACTGAGGACCGTCAGTCCATGGACGCCCAACTCGTGTCCTGGTACGAGGGTCTTCCCTGGCTTCTGCGGACGACACAGCCGTGCGCCGAGCCGTTGTATATCGCTCGTTGCGTCACCAAGTGGCGCTACCAGAACCTGCGCATGCTCCTCCACCGACCCGTCCTGCTCACCCTCGCGAGCAACCACCGCCCGGTACCTTCGCGCCCGCGCCGCCGTGCCTCGCACGCACCTTCATCCGTCTCATCCGCCGACGCCGACACCTCGCCTGGTACCGGTGCCGGCGCCCCCAACAGCGAGGACGAGGACTTCACCGCCTCCCTCGATGCTTGCTCCGACATGGCCGGACAGACGATCCATGACATCTCACGCGAGTGGACGCGCAACCAGATGCTCGGCTGGAACGCCGCCTGGTTCCTCTACCAGGCCGTCATGATCCCGCTGCTGCGCCTGGCGTGGCAACCCTTGGACACTCGCGCCGACACGTGGTGTGAGCAGATTGAGATGACACTCGATCTGCTGGATGCCATGGGCGACTGGTCCCTGACGGCATGCAGGAGCCGCGAGGTCGTGCGACGCGTGTACGAGACTGTCCGGGCCGCGGCGGACACGGCGGCGGGGATGCCGGGCGGCGACCCGACGCAAACGTTTGTGGGCGCGGGGATGATGGAGCAGATTGGCGAGGATGTCGAGTTCCGCATGTCGCCTATCCGTCTGGACACGGACGTTGATGTCGCTGGGCTGATGGATCAGGACTGGATGTGGGATCTTGACGGCATGTTCTGGGGACAGCCGGGGCAGCAGGGAATGCAGCCAGGGATGATGCAGCCGCAACAGCAGCAGCAACAACCCGACGGTGTTATCATGGACGGCATGGAGGGACAGGATCCGGGGGTTATGTACGGAGACGGCACGGTGCTGCCGATGCATTTTGGGGCATACAATGGGTAGGGGATGGACTGGCTGGGACTTGGGGCGGATATGGGACAGGAAAAGGAGGTCGATCGGCATTGGGATTGGATCGAGGGAGTTTGGCGGAGTGTTTCGCTTCCTCTTCTGTAACGATTGATTGACAGCGCAATGATACCCATGATTGCAGAGGCCAGGGCCGCTGGTGTGGTGAGCTGGTCGTTGCTTGGCCGCGTCTGGGCGCAGTGAAGGAGACCAAGAGCACTAACTGATGCACACTGAATCACAGCGCAGGGCGAGATACCACAACATCTGAGGGTCATGATGGTGAGGAAGCGGGCATCCTTCGGGTTTGTTGACATTTGACCCGACCGACGAGCAGATTTCGTCTCATCGACGCGTCCTCTTCGACTTGAGGACTTTCCTGGACAGCGTCTGAAGATGGTCAAACAAGAGTATTTCCCCTCGTGGGCTCCCTCAACAGCCCGCGATGCCGACTGGGAACGCCCCTTGGATGCCGTCGAGATCTTCTACCGCCGCATGACGCCCAAAGGAGCTGGCTGCTATCCCGTCACGGCCTGCGCATCGGTCAACATATCTTCTGACCCCGAGACGTCCGACTTTTGCTTCAAATCAGCATGGACTATTCTCCGACGTGAGTATCCGCCGTTGGGTTCACGCGTTTCCTTCGACCCCGCCAACGTCACCTGGATGAGGAGGTACTCCCAGCTCGACACGGCAGCGGAGTCAGCCTGGCTGTCTTCAACCTTTTTGGTCGTTGAAAACGAGGAGGGTCCCGAGCACTGGTTCAACAACGCGCCTCCGGCTTTCGAGTTGTCGTCCCTGTTCCTCGTCAAGCCCCGCGGCGAAGACGCCAATTACACTGTCTTCCTTCGATGCCCTCACGACCTTACGGACGGAGTCGGTACCCTCCACCTTCTCAACCGATTTCTGCTTCATGCTGGTGCAATCCATGAACATGGGCAGCACTACGCCTCCACCGTCCTGCTTCCAGAGGACGAGAGCAGTGCCCTCTCCCCGTCTCTGCAGGTTGATGCCATGTTCCCCTCGAAGCCCTCTCTCTCCCTGCAGGACACCTTTAAGGGCACTATCAGCAACAATGGCGCGATCTACAATCACCCTGGTCTTCTCAGTCTTCCCGCTTCGTCGGCTGCCAATGACCAAGAGGGAACGCACCGAGCGGCTGTCTCGATACCCCTCCCCACATCCTGCCAGATCGTCGACGCCTGCAAGAGCATCGGCCCAGGGATAAGCGTCACCCACGTCTTCCTCGCCGGTCTTGCCCAGACTCTCGCCGAGCTTCAACCGCAGAGAGACGAGCCATACGAGGTCCGCTACGCCAACCAGTTTCTGATGGACCTGCGCCCCCAGCTGCCGGCCCCTTTCGATGGCCCGAAACACGCCGCCGCTGCATATTCCACCGTCTCGGCCCAGGCCATGAACTTGGACTTGGTCGCAGGAGCTCAAGGCGCAGCCGCAAAGCTCGAAGAGTTTCGGCGATGCGCAATTGACGCACGCGATTTCTTCCACGCCGTTCGCCCGACATCCCTCGACCACGAACAAGTGCAGCTCACACCCCTTGTCTTCAATTCCCTGGCTGACCAGGCCGGTCCCAATCCTCACGCGACATCTGATCCCGCCTTCTGTCCTGTCGCCCTGTCGTCGCTCGGGGTCCTGGACAAGGTTGCATCGAGTCGCCATGGGAGCTTGACGGTGGACAATGTCTGGGTGGCCAGCGAGCCCATCGGTGCTGGAGTCGCCGCGTTCCTAGGCTCCTGGGCAGGTAAGATGGAGCTCTCGGTAGTCTTCAGAAAAGACTACCACGATGTCGAATATCTGGAGGATTTCCTCGGCCGGATTGTTGACAACGTGCTCCTGGGATTGAATATCGGCGAGTAAGTGTATGAGCAAGCCCCCAGAGCCTTAGATTTTTACATTAACTGTTCCCACCGTAATCCATCAAAGGCCCTTTTGTCTTTGAAACGTAGATTTCCACCCCGTCTAATGTCCTAATGGCGAAAATTTCGTGGACGATCTACCCGTCAATTTGAAGTCGCCTAACGCTCTAGCAAGACGATAAGAGCTGCTAAGGTTTCGAATTTTACGAATCCAAACCGCGCTGGTGGCTCAATTGGTCAGAGCTTTGTGCTTATGAAGCATCGACAAGATGTTCCATGCACTCACAAGGGTTGTGAGTTCGAGTCTCACCCGGCGCATAATGTTTTGGTTTTATTTTATCGTTTTCCATACAAAGCTAAAAGTTCTCTCTTATTTTTTAAATATATTAGTATATAGGCTATAAGCGTATGTCAGAGTAGGTAAGGCTACTCTATATCTTGATATTAGCTTTAAAGGAATTCTTTTAAGTTTATAAGTTTGGTTTTAATCTATTATAAGGTTTTATAAGATATATTACTTATAGAGAAGTAGTATAGGTTTACTATAGTATATAGAGCTTCCCCGCTCTCGCTCTTACTAGTATTAACTACTTATCTAGAGCTTTCTATCTCTATTTAAATTTATAACTAAATTTTTATACTTAAGTTTATATTTAAAACATTCAATTATTATAAAGTATTACTAATCCTAAGAGTCTTAAAGTAATACTAACTACTCTTAACGTCTTTATATTATTTTCTAAGATTTTAAATCCCCTTACTATACTAGTAAGTATAAGGTAATTATTTTAACTAAAATATATATTATATAATTATATTATACCAAGTAGTTTATTCAAGTATATATCTAAATTAAAGTACTTCTAGGAAGTTTATGGTCGCTAGTTTGCTTTCACTTTCTAAATTAAGAATCTCTACTCTATAGTATTTAAAATAATATATATATACTATTAGTATATAATTCCTTTTTAATTCTAATACTATTTATACTCAACGTTATATTAGTATCTTCTTCAATCCTCTTAGTATAAGTCAAAGCCTACTAGACAAAGTATTTACTTATAACTACAGACTTCCTAAACAGGTTAATACATAATAACGACTTTTTGGTGGAGTGCTGTCATGATGTGTGGGGCGGTACTTTGATAATCCTGGGGCTTTACAATCAAGGGCACCCAGAATTCAGACAGCAGGACACGGAGCAGAGAGCCTTCTCCGGCCCTCTGCCCATTGGAACTCTCGATGCACTGCCAACACCGCCCGCTTGGCCAGATTCATCACTCGGCCGAAGGTGCCGTCCATCGGTCTTGGATCGGGAGCCCCCTGTTGGACATGGTCTGGTCCGGCGTGCTCAGGGCGGCCTGCGGTCTGTGGAAATGCACAAGTCAAAAAAACCCATCATCCAGTGTCCCACCAATGCTGTGGAGCGCCGAGGCCATGGTCCGCCTGGATGACATGGCCGAGAGGCCGAGCGTGGAGTCAACTGTGGATGAAATCAAGGCCGTCCCAATATTTCTCTCTTGCTTCTCCGGTCCGAACTCGAAGCTTTGGTTGAACTGTGCGCCTGATTGTTAACTCTCTGCGTCTAAAGTCGCGCGAGGTAATCCGAAACGGGTGTCGATGCGAGTGGTGCGGGCGACCCCGTCTCATCAACCACAGACGGGGGGTGGTGATTGCGACCTCCTCTGATTTAGGTGCGTCGCCCTCCCAGCCCCCCGTCGTTCGCTTCCCCAGCAACAGCGAGCGTGCGCATCGTCTAGAGTGTCACTGTCATCGAGCGAAGCGCATGCCGACGCAATGGGTCTAGCGCGGGGCATGTTGCGCATCATCCCATTGGCCAGCCGGCATCATCGATATCTCGGCGGGGGAGAGAAGACCATCCAGGGCGAAATGAGACGCAATTCCCTGGCGACGGGGATGAGGGAGTATCCGACAGGGTGGCGGTAACACCGGGGAGCACAACCTGAGCCGATGCGGGTGTCCCTCGCCCTGCGCCGCCGCGGCCTTGTGTCGGCGCGGGAACTGTTCAAGTGCACAAGCCGTGAGGCATACACGATGCACGACGAACGGAATACCGAGCTGATTCGCCCCGTGGCCACATGGCAGCCATCCGCAGCGGCCGCCCGCTGGCTGACGGGTGCGGAATGTAGGACAGCCCAGGGGCCCGGGACGAGTGCATGTCGCGGCAGCCGAGCGCTTGCGACGGGATGGGGGCTTCTGTGGAATGTTGATACACTGAAGTTGGGGCAAAGGTCACGAAGACGGGGAATCTCTTGGTTGGTCTTGGTGGTGCAGTGATGCTCAGGCACAGACCGAAATGCCACCCTCCCTTCTCAAGCCACCACCCCTGTCGCCAGCCGCCTGGGTTTTGAAGCCGCTGCACTTAGCCCGCATCGGGATTAGCGTATCAATCTACGGTGCAAGAGAAGGGTGGACCCCAGCCACACCCGATTGTCCCATCTGCACCTCTCTGCCTGCCGTTCCTGCCGCGTCCACCTCTCTGCTGCTTGCAGAGGGAGCAACACTGGAAGGCATCGCCTTGGTGCTCCGCGGGCTCGTGTTGCCCACCGACGAGGTGGCAAAGACCGCGTAGCTGGCACAAGTAGTCGCTCTAGGAGGTCCGCTAGATATCGGCGCGACCCAATGGGCGCGAATGGGCCCCGCGGGGGAGGGACGAGGAAACCGGCCGACGAGGCAGGTGCCAATGTTGCCAAGTGCGCGCTAGCCTCTCCGGCGAGAAAAAACGAGCCTGGCGGAGGCAGGCGCGAGAGCGAGCAGCGAGTTGGATGCAGCGCAACACAATCAACGGATGCTGGAACAGCTGGAACCGCTGGAACAGCTGGAGCTCTGAGGTGGTGGTGCGGGTACCTTTCCGGAGCTCCTGCCCTGGCCTGGTGGCTCTTGCCCGCCCCTGCCCTCCGCGCGCGCACCTTCCCTTCCCTCCCTGCCCTTGCCCGATTGATTGCGTCGCCGTTGCCGTTGCCGTCGATGCACGTCTTGGCCTCGCACCTGCCCTCCCCCCGCCGCTGCCTCTTTAAACATCGTGACCCGTCTCGCCCACACCATCCCCGGCCCTCCCGGCTTTTCCCTCTTCTCCCTCTCATCTTCCCATCCTCTGGTCTCCCATCATCAACATCCCCATCTCTCCCAGCATCCATCTTCCGCCACCACGCATACAAGCAAAGCAAGCAGAAGCTATCCTCATTTTTGAGCACTACCCAGCCATAGCTTTATCGGCCCACCTTCCGCCCGGACCATCCATTCTTCGTCACACCCCGCAAGATGCGCTCCTTCGCCGTCCTCGCCGTGGCCTTTGCCACCGCTGCCGTCGCCCAGAGCAGCTCCAACAGCTCCAAGGTCTACACCGTTGAGGACCTCGGCCCCGTCTTCAGCACCCTCAGCGACAGCACCAAGCGTACGTGCCTTGCCAGCAGCCTTGCTCGCCATCCTCGCGATTTGCGCTGACCTTGTCTCAACAGGCGACTGGTGCCGCGGCCAGAACAACGGCTGCGAGGATCTGTGCGGTGGCCGTAACAACTGGGAGGTCAACGACTGCGATGACGTACGTTTTCAGGCTGGTCACTGTCCTCGCTCGCCTTGCTAACATCATCTCAGAACACTCTCGTCTACGAGTGCAAGTGCAACGACGGCAAGGTGCCCCCTCTTGAGGACTACACCAACACCATGCCCACCCACATCTGCCTCGCTGTCTTCGATGCCTGCATGACCAGCCACCCCAACGACCGCGACGGCCAGGACCAGTGCCTTGAGGCCAGGAAGGCCAGCTGCGAGCCCACCGAGCTTCTCGACCCCGCCGAAGCCAACACTGCCGACTCCAACACCAGTACCGCCGCTACCACGACCACCAGCAGCGCCGCCAGCGAGTCTACCGGCGAGGCTAGCAACACCGCCTCGGCCGACGCCGCTGACGCGACCGCGTCCACCACGACCGGCGACAGCTTCGCCGCGCCCACCGCGGCCCCCGCCGCTGGCGCCGCCGCCGTCGCCATGGTCATGGTTGCCTACCTTGTCTAAGCCCCTGAGGACGCGACGACCCCCGAAAATGGTGCGGGCGGCCATTGGTGCCGCCCGATTTTCTCTTCGCTGTATCGAGCTTCTCGACTACACCTCCGGCGGCTCCCCCCGGCCGGCGGATTCTTTCACCGACACCCCCCGGCCGACGGAACCGGACCGCGCCTCACCCGGCGCCTAATGACAGACGACGATATGGAGGGACGGACACGCTGACGGGACGATGGACGGAATGGATATCCCGCGGAGATCATGGCAGCAGGGAACGGATTGGCGGTTTTGCAGCGACATGGTTAGGAACAGACGCGTAGCACAGTACAGTACCCCGGTTGTTTTGCGCATTGCGATGCGCGCATGAATGAATTGAGTTTTACCACCCATGCCCCGTCCATTTGCTTTGTGCAAAAGGTTCGTTTCTTGTCGTCGCGAACATGGTGCTGACTCCGAACAGAAGACCTCAAACTCGCCATCCGACAAAGGAGATGGTTCCCACACATGTTCCTCAAGGAATGACACGATGTTGTCGTTCCGATTGCAGATCAGTTGATCGAGGCTCTTTTGGCTGAAGCGTCAGACACATCAATTGTCACGAGAGTTCCTTGAGAGCATATAAGAGGCAGGCCGCAGCCCCATCGACGAGGTTTCAGACATCACATCACTTGCAACATCAGCATCAGCATCATCAACAGCATCATCAACAGCATCATCATCATCATCGTCATTCTATTCGATAATACCACTAACAACTCACTCGACATCATGTCCTTTCCCACTCCTGGCCGCAAGCGGTCCCTCAGCCAGCCTTCAGGTAAGAGCAGCTCCAGTGAGGCCAAAGGTCCCATCACTAAGCGCCATGTCAGTTTCGGCTGCGAGTTGGAGTTTCTGGTCGCCTGCCTTGGCAATGATCAACCTGACCCCGATGAGGGTCTCGGGCTTGCACCCGCCTTTCGGTTTACTCGCAAATCAAATTACTACCCGGATCCTGCCTTGCTTTACGAAAGCTTAAGGGCTAGCCTGACAGACGCCGGCCTTCCCGTCCAAGGTACCGACAAGGTGCCTGACGGATCTGCACGCTCGGTGCAGGCATCAATGGAACTGACGTACGCGGCGGGGTTCACGATCTTATCGGATCCTTCGCTTTCGGAGTCCTGCAAATTTGGCGGATACACGTGGATAGGAGTCGAGATGACGACACCCGCGGCGTGGAACAAGCCGGTGTACTTTGACATGGTGAGGTTGGCGGTCAACACAATCACTAGCAACTACCGCATCCGTGTCAACCCCTG